AAAGTACTTTAAACTGTATAAATAATGTAAAATTAAATTGATTTAAACAGCCAATCATACGAATGTCTGCCTATGAAATGTAAGTTACGTACGTGTGACAACTTTAAACCGGAAATTTCCGGCGTAGATAAATGTAGATCTTGAATATAAAAGCCAGTACTAATTTTGGTAATTAACTTTCTGCAATGGCTACGAAACTAATATTATTTCTTATTCATGTTGCCTCGATCAATTTCATCGCCAATCTAGTGAATACGGTTGTTCCTGATCCATACATGGTATATTTCAAAAGCAATGGATTCCATCTTTTTAATTAGTCATGTTGCTTTTGAATTTGACAAATTTAACACATGAATCATAAGGATGAAATTTTTCATATTCCACAAGCACAAAGATACTGTGAAGGAAATTATCATGAATGGGATCCAAAATTAACAACCCCACCAGGATTGTAAGTGGTTCATAATCTCTATTTGTTTCTTATCAAAAAAAATTCTCATTAAAGTTTTATTGTTAGGTATATAATAAGTAATTTAATAATATTACTGATAAACCATCTGGTACATTCGGTAAACTTTTGCTCGATCGAATTTCTTCGTGCAACGAATATTCTGTTTGGCATTGGACTATATGTTTTATTTTGGAAAATTCTAGCCTACCTTCATCCATATCAAAATAAAAAAACGAGAGCTTTCAATGCTTTTGTTCTGTCATCGTTTCCCGTAAATTGGTTTTATACTTTTTTATATTATACTGATTCTGGATCAACATTTTTTGTTTTATGGGCTTATCTATTAGCTTTGAAACGACAGTTTTGGATGAGTGCCATGGTTTGCTCATATAATATATATTATTCATATATTTTTGTATTTAATCTAATCAAAGTCTTTATAAAAGGTTTCGGGGGTTGGTGTTCTTTTTCGGCAGACGAATATAGGATGGGTTTGCTTTACTTTAGGTGTGTCGATTGTAGACGTTTTATCTGATGATAATTTTTCAAATAAACATTTTCACGGAATTTTAAGACCTGTCAAAGAAAAAAATATTGGATATGGTGAAAATCAACTTTATTATCTCATTAAAAGATATTTACATATACAATCATATAAAATTAATCTTTTTATTTTAGTGATCGGAATTCAAGAAATATTTAATTTCGCATTGATAGCATTAAGAAATTTAGTAGAATTAATAATAATATTTTATCCTTATCTTTTAGTCTTATTAAGCTTTATTTATTTTATTATATGGAATGGAGGTATTGTTTTAGGTGAGAAATACATTCTCGTTGTACGATTAATGAATGAATGCTAGTTGACTTTATTCATTGTTATTTAGGAGATAAGGCGAACCATATTGCAGTTATACATTTCCCACAAATATTTTATTTTATATCTTTCACTTTTTTTTTCGCCACACCTGTTATATTAAAATTTAAACATATCAAGAGAATCACATGTTCCATCATGCCGCGGCAGATTACCACGTATGAAATTGTCATCTCAAATTTAAATAATTTCATGGGGTTTTTTTTTTTTAATTTAATTATCGCATATAGGACTATCGTGACATTACTTCCCGTAATGATTTTAGCGGCATTTTTAATACATAATTATACGTAAGTTATACTATTTTAAATATGTATTGCATCCTAATTTTCTCGTGGAATATAATAGAGATCTCATTATGCACAAAATTTTAAATAGTCATGAGCATCCATTCTTATTAAGTGATAATCGTCACTACACATTTTATATTTGGAAGGATATATATCGTC